TTTATATGCAAATTGTATGTGCAGCAAAGTAGAGTCCATTATTGTATCTTTCTTCACATCGGTATATGTGATGAAATGGAGAGAATTCTTTCCTCATAAGGAGTTAAGATACTCCCCTTCATTTCATGCACAGGTTATAAGCTGTGCTTCAATAGAAGTCCTTCAATCATATCTTCTATGGAGACAAACTAATTGTAAGTAGTCTCATAATGCTGTTTCGAGTCTGGAAGTTACTATATAGTCATTTTCAAATGACAAGTCTCTGATTCAAGAAAAACTTTCAAGTGAATTTTCTATTTACATGTTGTGTTTGCAGGTCATACAAATAACCTACATAAGACTTGCCAATGGGAGCTAATTAAATGTGGAAAGACCGAAAGTGAAGCATTGGAGTTACTAAGGGTGAGAAGATTTAATTGTACTTTATGCATTAATTGACTTTTTTTAGATGCATGCTTATTTGAGGAAGAGGTTATGTTAAACTGTACCATGCGTTCGTCTATATTTATTGTTTGTGTCCTTTCCTTTTTAACGTTATGTTGTGAGATACTTGTGCTTCAATCTTTTCTTTTCTATTATTGAAAATGGTCTAGTTTTTCACCCATTAAAAATAAATTTTAATTTTCAAATACAGAATGTTGTTGAATGTTGATATTTATAATTCTATTTTTCACCTATGATTATCTATGTAATATGCAGGGCACTAGTAAGGAAGAAAAAAATGATCTTCTTTTCAGAAATTTTGAGATTAACTACCAGAAATTGAATCCGATGTTCCGACAAGGATCCTGCATTTTGAAAACTGAGGTTATCTTTCAATTCTGTAGTGAACTCTATCGTACTGATCTTGGAAATCAAACTTTCCATTTTTGTTTCTAGGAAGTTTTTATTTCAATCTATTGGAAAGGTAGAATTCTGGAGCTTTTTGCATACTTTATTTTATCTGTATGATGTAAAATGCTGAAAGAAATAAACCTGCACTTGCATATGCATATTTTAACATTTCTGTTTTATTAGGAGTTATAGATGCCTTTACTAATGTGTTCTAGTTCACGTGACATTATAGATGCATCCTGACTTCTCATGCTGAAATCTTCATTGTACATTATTCAGGTGATTGACATTGTAAAGCACAGAGAAAATGGCTCTCCTGTCAGGAGACTTAGAAAAAAGTCGAGCATAGTCCATTCAAAGAATATAGCTGGAAAATGTTTTTGGAACAATCACACTGGTCTTCTGAAGGAGCTCGGTAGCTTTACAAATGACATTGGAAAAGTTGAACCAGATTATGTTAGGTCCTTCCAGTTTAAAAAAATACTGATGCCCTCAACTTGGATTGTTATTAGAATTGATGGTTGCCATTTTCACAGGTAAACTATTCCTCACGTGACAACATAGCTTATTGTGGTTGTTGTTGGTCTAAATTTTTTCTCGTGGGTTGCTAATTATTAAGGGGAGGTGTCCTACATATGGTTCCAATCCTAAAATTTTAATGGGTTATAAAATTTACTTCTTCTGTTTAGATCACTTATTGAGAATTTTCCATGTTGGACCATTAAGTGGGTACAACTAAAGTGCTAAGTCATTGTTACACTACAAACAGTATACAACATGGACTATTTAATTTCTACGTGGATGCATGTAATTTTGTTGTTAGATATCATGCTAAAATTCTAGAAATGATACTTAGTGTTTAGCTGTTTGGCTTTTCGAAGGTTTTCAGATGTTCATGAATTTGTGAAGCCGAATGATAAGCAAGCCCTCAACCTTATGAATGCATGTGCAGTGGCTGTTGTAAAAGAGTTTCCAGACATAGTTTTCTCCTATGGAGTCAGTGATGAATACAGGTATAAAATAGATTTTATATCAGAATGTTGTGATCTATAACATTAGTTTAATTGTTCCTATTATTTTGCAGCTTTGTTCTGAAGAAGGATTCTCATTTCTATCAAAGGCAAGCAAGGTTTTTCTTCCATCATCTTTCTTATGGTTTCTATATTTTAGATGCTGTTAATGGATATCCTATATGGAATATAGTTAAATTTGTCTTTGGAGACGAAATGCAAGCAACCAAACACCTAAGAAAATTCACTTAACCAGGAAATTTATAATGTAACAACTTTTGATGAGCAGTCAATAAATGGTACAACAACCAGAAGATTAAGCTGATTGAGAAGGTCAACTATTAATAATGAATTTTCTTGGTCAGGAATTACTTTGTATTTCAGACTTTAGGTGATTGTTGGATTTTATTTATTTATTCATTCAATAAGATTATTGTTAGATTTTAGATCATGTTAGATTTATAGTTACAATCGTTGACAATGCATTCTTATTCTATGTGCATAGATTAACTAATTTTTCTGTAGTGAATTACAAAACTAAGGTTATTTTTTGTCATGCTTGCTCTCAACCCAGGAAGGTGCTTCTCAATGAAGCTCTTTTATAACACTGTTTGAAGTACCTTTTGTTTGAAGAAATGAGTTTTTGGGCCTCAAATTCCTATATTTCTCTGCTAGGTCTTTCATATTGTTTATACTTGATGCACTTTTTCCCCATAAATCAAATTGGTCCTTTTGACCGGTATTAGAATTACTAACAACTTCACCTCTGCAGTGAGATAGTATCTGCCATTGTGTCATTATTCACTTCCATATACATAACGAAATGGAAAGATTTCTTCCATCAAAAAGAGTTAAAGTACCCTCCTTATTTTGATGGACGTGCTGTGTGCTACCCGTCAGTTGAAATTCTTCGAGACTATCTAGCCTGGAGACAAGTTGATTGTGAGTATTTCAGCTATAAATTTTCAAAAAAGAGAAAATGGGATTTAACTCTTTGACATTACTAAAAGCTAGAAGCAATAATTTTTTCAGTTTGTTTAAGGTTGCATTCAAAACTATGTACTTCATGTGGATAATGTTGTAAATTCAGTGGCGTCAAATTTCAAATGGGTTTGCAGGTCATATCAACAATCAATACAATACTTGTTTCTGGGAGCTTGTTAAGTCTGGAAAAAGCAAAAGTGAAGCTCAGAATTTTCTAAAGGTATTTGGTCCGTGCAGTATATTTTGGACACAATCTTTCTTCTCTAGGAGTCTACCCTCCACCTTTATCAATTTTAATAAAATTTTCTTTTGTATGTAGGTATGTCATTCCAATTTTTTTTAGTGTTCCTTGAATATTATTTTTGCATGATTTTCATATTCTTGTGGTAGCCCTCTTTATTAAAATAAATAAATAAATTGACAGGGTACTCAGACTGGAGACAAAGAGAAATTGCTGAAGCAATTTGGTATTGACTACCACAAATTACCAGCCATGTTTCGCCAAGGTTCCTCCATTTTCTGGGACAAGGTTGTCTTTCTATCTCTATGGGATGTGAAAATTTCACAGTGCAATATTTTTTTATTATAAGATGTCGGCAACTCCTACCACCTGTTCATCTTTAACTTCACTCAAATAATAAAATGACAGGAATACATCGGTTAGTTTATATGTGGAAAGCTTGGACTAATTAGTTCGGATTGGCCTTTGAGGAAAATAATGTTTACTGGGCTGCTGAATTATAGATCACATGGGCCAGATGGCCAACTTGCTTAATAGCCGATCTCATTGATGCTAGTTTGGCAACCAACCCTTTTTTCCCAAGTTTAAGCTAGTATTTTGACCAGAGTACCAGTGTCAGTAGATACATCTTATACTTTCATGTGGAAAATGTGGATTAGTGGAATATGCATAATTCTGTCCTTGCTTCATCATGACTCGTAACTAATATTTCAGTTGGGACTTAGGATATTCCCAAGTTGATTTGGTTGAGTAGAGATGGAATTAGTAACCGAACTCATCTGCGGGTCATTCTTTCAGTAGGTTTCCATGACTGAAATCTTTTGGAGCATACCCTTTATATCCACTGACTTCTCGGAACAAGTGTAGTTCATTGATCTTTTATTCTCTATGGCAACTTCAACAGGTTTCTATATTTTATGAGATTAGAAGTGGTGAGAAAATAAGGATAAGTGATTGTTTATGCGTTTGTTGACCTCTTTTGGAGTCCTAATGAGTAGATACACACAGCATTCTGACTAACGTGGGGTTGGCCATTAGCGGATCCTCTTCTGCAGTTTTTTTCATTCTCTTGGTTTCCCCTTTTTCTGTTTAGTACACATCTGTGAAACACCCACCCAGGATGCTACAAAAGGAATGGCCTGGAGGTCTAGTGGAGCCTTGAGTGGATAACGCACACAACACTCCCAATTAATCTGAGATCTATTTTTTCCTTTGGCCATTAAGAAACACACATACATACACACCATCTATGAAATTTGAGATCCACTTTAGACACTTCAAAGGAATTTCTATCCAAATGGTTTTTTACATGCTAGTTCTTTATTTTCCCTTGATATGCAGGTTTCATTCTTAAGCTTTTATATTTATTCTGCATGCAGGAAGACATCACAATGATGCAGGAGAAAGAAAAACCTGGTGGAAATTCTTTGAAAAGAGTTATTGTAGAACATTGTAATATAATTGAGCCAAGCTTTTGGGCTGCGCATCCAACAATTCTTTATAGGTAACTCCATAGATGCTGTGAAGCACTGAGTTCTTTGTTATGGAGAAATTGAAGACCTTAGCAATGCCAAATTGAAGACCAGTTTTCCAAACCAAAACAAATCATCACGTGGCTTTACTTGAGTCCCGGTAGCTGGCCCTGTTTGTTCCACAATTTCAAGTGCTAAGGTAGAGACAACATGCTGGAGCTTTGTTCCAACCAGCATGACAAGCTCTGTCTCTGTGGAGCCCAGTCTTGACCTTCCCTGCTCTTGCAGGGCTGGTTCTTGCTCTTCATGTGCTTGCAAAGTTGTGGAAGGGAGTGTGGACCAGTAAGATTAGAGCTTCCTTGATGATGACCAGATTGAAGTGTGGATTTGTCCTTGGTTGTGCGGCTTATCCCTCATCTGATGTTGTACTTGAAACCCACAGGGAAGAGGAGCTCACTGGTTAAGTGTGATCTCTATATTTCACCGTGGTTGCTTGTATTGGCTTAGTTTATTTGAGGATAAGGTATTTCTAATTAAATGAGTTGCTTAATGTTTTTGTACTCTCATTTGTAGTATGAAATCATTGTAGCTTGTAAACCCTTACATGAATTTTCTCTTAAATCCTCTCTCTCAGGTTTCTGAGTTTAAAAGTGAAGGGTAGGCCTTGCAAGGGAGACTGATAGCGGAAGGAAATGAGTTTGAGCATTGCTTAACAGGATATACATCCAGTGTTCAGCCACTATTCCAAACATGAACTTTAAGTGGTACATTGAACTCGGATACATTATAATCTACCTAATTATCTGAGATAACTTCTATTTAACCATGCCAAAAAAGAAGCCTCAACTGGCTAAGTTGTTGATCAATACTTTGAATTCTTGCTTGAGAAGCCAAGAACTCATGTTTTCTGAAACAACTCTAAAAGAGTATCCACCTTTTCTTCCATTCCATTGCCTTCATCATCTTCATCACTGATGGTTGGAGGTTGAGATGCACTAATTCTTACCGATTCAGATAAATACTCTTCCACTCGGAATGAGTATTCATGTTGAGGTGGTTCAGACGGCTCAAGAACAGCTTCAGGCTGTTCCGCTGACGCTACAGTTACTTGATGGAGTGAGTCCAAGGAAGAGCTCCGAGACAAAGTGCCAGATGCAACTGTTATTTCATCTCTCTCATCAATTGTCGTATCAAGTGAACAAACTGACCTTGTAGCATGCGAATGCACAGAATCGCGTCTAGACCTCTCCTTTACTCTCTTGCACCAGCTATGGAGTGAATCTCTGACACTCTCGGCAACCAGAGCTTTCTTGCACCGTGATCCCATCTGTTGTCATCAAATACAAAGAATGAACATCAAAATACCTCGTTTGTACAACTTGAACAAATTTCAATCTTCTCTAACTTCTCTATGTTCCTATAAATGAGAAACCCCTAGTTTGTTTGACAAAGGAAACAATTACTGAAATTTGTGTGTCCATGTACATTGTGCATAGTGATCGGTCATTCTGCAGAATGCTACATTTACTTTCTGCCTTGTTCCAATAAACCAAAAGATTTATATTTCAGAATTGTTGAAGAGTTTTAAGCAAACCTGTGTGACAATTACGTTCAGAGGCACTGTGCTGTAGCTACACCAGAACTGAACAAGAACACTGCAAAAATATTTTAAGATGCATATTACTGATCCAACAAATCCATAGTCTCTAGGGCTGATTGGCATAATTAGGATACTGTTCATATGTATTAGCAACAGAAGTGGCATGACTGGAATTTGTTGTTTGATAAAGTACATAACAGAGAAAGCAACTTACCCAGAGGTCAACCGGATAACTATCATTAAGTGGTTTTTCATGAAGCATGATCTCTCCTTAAGTCCCCACTACAAAGAGAAAAACTCAATACAATTCCCATGAATGAAAAAGCAAGCACACAACTAAAAAAAAATTTCAATAACTGTAAGCAAGGAGAACAGATCTGTTAATTCTGCTACTAGTGTGAATACGAAAATTATATGCAGAAATCAGTCAATTCTGCTATTAGTGTGAATTATATGCACCGTATAACAACTTCGCCTACCAATTTCCATTTAATATTTGACAGGAAAAATAAAACAGAAATGTATAATGTTTTTTCTTTTTTGTACTATGAATTATCTTAAAGTAATATTTCTGGTGAATTGAGATTAAAAAAAAAAGGTTTTAGTTAAGAAAAGCCCATATGTGATGTATATTATCTGACTTTTACTTCTTTATTTTCTGTAAACTCTCCTTGAAAGTTTTCCTTGCTTTCAAAAGCATGTTAATCAACAAAGTATTTCCCATCCCATTACAAGCTTACAATGTAAGGAAAAATCTCTGAAATTGCATCCAGCCAATTTATATATTGTTTCATGCGACTAATGTCTTACCAAGGACCAGAGAAAGGTTGCCATCTCAAATGCATTCTGCAGGGATGCACAAGAAAATGAGTGAGGATTTTTCTCATGAAGATTTATTGCAAATATTCATAAATAATATATACACATAAGATGTAAATTGCAAATATTCATAACCTGAAATATGATGAACTGTATCAACCTCAGTAGTATCACTGGTTTCCCAAACCAAAACAAATCATCACGTGGCTTTACTTGAGTCCCAGTAGCTGGCCCTGTTTGTTCCACAATTTCAAGTGCTAAGGAAGAGACAACATGCTGGAGCTTTGTTCCAACCAGCATGACAAGCTTTGAAATGCAAGAAGATTGAAAATGTTCCATCAGAATGAAAAAAAAAAAAAAAAAAAAGAAGAAGGAAAATTAATTTAAGGGTATTTTAGTTTAATTCAATGATAACAAGTATGTATACTTACAATGGCAGGGATGAAAGAAAGCCAAAAGTAAATATTCAAACCTGCAGAAATTGGAAAAAAAATAAAAATAAAAATAAAGGTTAGGAAATAAGGCTCCAAATATATATAAGTTCAGTATATTTATTTGCATCTGAACATACAAGAATTTACCATGAATATTTACGAAAATGCACACTATGGCATATCCCCAAAGTGGCCAGCTGCAAAATCAGAAGTTAATTCAGATACAACCTTGCTTCTTCCCCATAAGATAATTAAGATATGCTTAAGAAATCAAATATGTTTAAGAGTTATAGGATGATGAAATATAGAAGAAATTAATGTTCAATATTAGATTACTGTAAGCTGTTTTAACCTTTTTTATTATTATTATTATTTTTTTTTTGACAACGCATCTTAACAGTATCGAAAGAATGTGGCACTTGTGATGTATAAACAAAGCAATTTTGGAACATATTTCTGGTATGGGATACTTAAAGTGTTGAAAAAACCCTCTTCCAGTCAAGTATTACATTTTCTGATGTGGAGAATGTTAGGGGGTTACGGGAGTTACCATAGTTAAGGGTCTTCAATGACAATACATTAGTGTTTTAGCTGTTATGTTGTTATTAGCCTTTATTAGGATACTTAAGGGTTTTCCGTTTCATTGTAACCACTAGGAAGATATCTTATAGTTTGGGTATAAATATAGGTTGTAATGACTATCCGAACCATAATATAGATCAAGTATCTTAGAGTATCTGAATTTGGTCTACAGAGAAAAGGCCAGTCAGTTAATTTTTGGACTTAGGGTTTATTATTGACGTTCAAGGAGAAGGCTTAATTTGCAACCATAATTAAAAGCATTCTAATTAATTCCTAGGGGCATGGGCAAAGCATGACAACTCAAGTACATAAAACAACAATAATAGAATTAAGGTAACCCAAGAGATCAAATAAGACACTATTATATCAAGCTACATAGATATAAATTATGTAATCCAGAAAAGTGCCTACCTAATACCCAGAATGCCCTGAAATTCATCTTCCATACTCCGGACCATATATTTATGAAAATTATAAGAAAGTGGAAGTTTGTGCTTCTGCATATTATTAACACAAATCAGTACAATAATAACATGATAAAGCAATGAGAAAATGATGTTCCAGTGAACAAGAGAGTCAACAGAAATGCACTGGTGTTACAAATCTAAAAATACTGCAAAATCTGCAACTATGCAGCACTTTGTTCAAATATTTTGAGGTTTCTATTGCAATATGAAAGAAAGAAAGTCAAAATGAAAATAAGCCCAGTAGGAAACATGTACAACTAAGGGCATCAATAATAAAATACCCACACTGATGAAGCCCAAACGCAGAGCCAAGTAATCAGATCTCTGTATGGAACTCTTAAATTGTCGTAGAAAGCAGAGCTGCAGTATCAGGACACAAATCAACATTAACTTACAGTCATTTGAAAACTCAACATGTCAAAGATATAGCAAAAAATTGGAGATAAGGGAAACACTAAGATCAAAAGCAGTAAGGTATCTGATACATCTATTGTTTACAGTAAGAAGTTTTGACTGATAAGGTGTTGTAACAGTTGTCTTGTTCAAAATAAAATTGTGATAATGACTGTCATAAGAGCACAATTTATGTAAGGCATTAGTTTTAAAATGGTGACTAGAAGGGAGGGGGTGCAATTAATTCAAATCTTTTATGAAAAGGATGAAAAGTTACCATCCAAATCAGAAGCCGATTCCTGCTCCATGGATGAGATGTGTGATGAAAAATAAAGGTGGATTGCCGTGTCATGACTTTGTTTTTCTTTGCTATAGGAAAAACCAAGATGAGAAGGCTAATATAGGCAAGATGATAGATGATAGATGATATAAGTACTTCAAAGACATGCAGAAATAGGATAATTAAGAAAGCTTAAAAAATGCACTAGAAGTTGTTATCAGTTGAAAAGAAACAAAAGATGCATAAAATAAAATCTCTGAATAATACTCATCTTCTAGGACTCAAATACAGAAGCAGATACTAGTGTCTGTATGAACTTGCATCAGCCAAGTGCACATCATCTTCCAAAACGGTTTTCGTAATTTGCTTGTTATTAGAACCCCCTGACAATGAACTAAAAGATATTTCCCATATCAAACTCCCAACGAAATAGTCTCAAGTAGGGGTCTTTGCTTAAAGGCACTAATGCATTTCTAGTTTCCAACCTAAAAAATTCATCCAAACTTGAGGAGTACATTTCTTTTGTTCATGATAACTTGTATTGGCCCAATTAACCCTGTATCACCATTTTTCGGTTTAGACTTAACAAAAAGAAACCCAGGCCTGTTGTACTATAGCCCTCTACAAACAGAAGTTAAGTGCTTAATACAGCAAACCCGGTTTGTTTATGAAGAATAGCCTTTATTGTTTAAATTAATTGACAAATTGATGTAGGACGCATAGGGCCTAAATTTATTAGTTTCCTAATATATTTGTTAGTTTCCTAGATTCTCTAGTTTTCCAAATTCTAATAGGATTTCTACTTTTCCAGATGTCCAGATTTCTAGTTTTAAGTTTCCTATTTTATTTGGGTTAGGATTTCTGTTTAAGCAAGGGATTTTTATCCTATTATGTCTAGGTTTTAGTTTGCTATAAATAACCCCCATGTAGTTCTTTAAAATTCAGATTTGAATGTTGAGTAAACCTTTTCCTAGAACTCTCTGATTTCGTCCCTTCGATCTATATTTCTTCTCCTCGATCTCTGATATTCTTCTTTGTTCTACTGTTTCTGTCATTTATCTCGTCTTTTCAATCTCTATTTCTTCTCCTCGGTCCCTTATATTCTTCTATGTTCTATTGTTTGAGTGCTTCATCTAATACCTACGGGCTGTACTACATCACAAATGTAATTTATTTGGTTTAACAAGTACGAGACATTTGCAATATTGATTTGCTTAGTCTGAAAATGTTGCAG